AGAGACGGGGAAAAAGAGAGAGAGCGAGGAGAACGAGGGGGAAGGAAAGGAGGAGGAGGAGGAGGAGGGGAAAAACAAATGCGGAGATGGAGGAGGAGGAGGAGGGAGGAAGGGGGAAGGGGAAGAGGAGGGGGTGGAGGAAGGGAGAGGGCGGGCCAGGGGGGGGGGGGGAGGAGGAGGACGACGAGGACGAGGAGGAGAATGAGGAGGGCGAGGACGAGGACGAGGAGGAGGAGGAGGAGGAGGAGGAGGAGGAGGGGGGAAAAACAAAGGGCGCCAGCCCAACGTGAAACGCGGCGAAATCTCGTGCGGGAACGCTGGTTTTGTCGGGGCGGGGGCCGTCAGCGGCGACCACCAAAAGCGCCGCCTTGAGTAAAACAGGGAGGAAGTCTCGAGCGGGAGCGTTGTTGTTGCTGGGGGGGGGGGGGGGGGGAAAGGGGGGGGGGGGCGGCGCCGATGAGACAAAGGGTGGCGCGCTTGTCCACGGTAAAACGGAAGGACGTCTCCAGCCGGAGCGGTGGTTTTGTTGAGACGGTTTTTTTCGGCGGCGAGTGGAAAAACCGGCCCTCAATAGAAAAGGGGGAAGTCTCAAACGGGACCGTTGTTGTTGTTGGGGGGCCGGTCTTGTCGGCCCCCCAAACCGCTTGAGACTGAGTCATTTTCAATGAAAATGCAGCCGGCGCTTTGGCGACCGCGCCAGGGCGCCTACAGGGCCAACAGTAATAACTGCTGAGTAACTATAATTTAACAACAACAACAACATTACCATCGTCATCATCAGCACCATCATCATCATCATCATCATCATCATCATCATCATCATCATCAGCATCGTCGACAACAAAGCAACCAACATAATTCCCACCACGAATTCCTTATTCAGCCACGCACCCAGGGGCAATGAAAAACCGCTCGGCCCCCGCATTCTTATATGAGAAATCCTGATCTGGAACATTCCTGTTTTATTCTTCCCCCTTTGGGCAGGTTTGGAGACCCGCGAGGCTCCGGATCGCCCCCGAAAGCGTTCCAAGAGCGCTTAGGATGGCCTCCAAACCGCCCATCAAGCATCCAGGACGCTTGCAGGGCTTTCCTCGGCCCTTTTCCGTTTGCTTGGGGCTCTCTTGGGCCGCCTATGGGCCGTATTGGCAGTATGGTGGCCGTCGTGGGGGCGTTTTGGCTCCGTTTTGAACCGCCGACAGGCCTTCTGAGGCCATTTGTGTTCCCACGGGAGGTCTTCTTGGGCCGTTTTGAACGCCTTTTGACCAATCGTGGAGTCCTTTTGGGCCTTCTTGAACTGACGGCAGCCCGGGAAAGGCGAGAATGCGGAAACCATGTTTACCCTGACAAAGATATGATTGTGTGTGTGTTCTGCGGGCCCTGTTGGAGGTCCTCGTGATGCCATTTTGTGTTCTCTTGGGGCCATCGTGGGCCGTCTTGGTTCAATTTTCGGCCGCTTAGGGGCCATCTTAGGCAGTTTTCGAGGTATCTTGGGCCATCTTGCTGTCTTTGGTTGCCTGAAAGAGCCGTCTTGGAAACTTGAGACGGTTCTGACCAGGGATCGTTGCTTGAGGGGCCTTGTAGCGTTTGAGAGCAGCGGTTGTGAATGCGGGAAGCGCACGATCAGTGGGTGCGCGCGGGAAGAGGGGCCTGACAGCTAGCAGCGTGCGAGCCGCTTGGGCGCCGTTTGGACCGTGTTGGGGAGCGATATTGGTGGCCCACAGGGCCGCCTTTGAGCGTCGAGGACCTGGTCAGACAAGGGCGTTAAAATCATTGAAACACATGGACAATGAGTGCATTTGCCCTCCTGAAGGTCCTATTTGCAGGCCTCTTTGAGGCCTCTGAGGCCGTCCTGGGCCATCAAGTGTCCATCTTGGGGCGTCACGGGTGCATGTTGCGCCGTTCTGGAGGCAATTCTGGGGTTTCTTCGAGCCGTGCGAATTTCTAGGAGGAGATTGTTGCTTTGTCGGGTGTTCACTTGCGACCCTCTTTTCGTTGGACGACCGACGGGGCGTCCCAAGGGTCGGCGGGTCCGGAAGAAGGCCCGAAGACAAAAGCAATCAGAAGTCTGGCAAGCGGTGAAGGTGTTAGAGTGTGGGTGTTAGCTTTAATGAGGGTTAGGGTATTATTGTGAGGATATTCGGGTGTATCAAGGCTACGGTGTCGCGGTAAGGGGTGATGCGGAGTAAGCAAATGAAGGAGGAAGACGGAGAGAGGATGGTGAGTTTCCGGGAGAGGATAGGATGGAGCAGGGGAAGATGGAGGGAAGGGAGGAGACAGGAGCAGGAGAGGGGAGACGGCACGGGCGGGGAGGATGCGGAGGAAGATGACGGGCTCCAGGAGCAGGGGAGGGAGGGCGACCAGGGGGGGGGGGGGGCAGAGCAGGACGAGGGCAGGGCGGAGGAGGCTCAAAGTTGGGAGGAGGAGCGGGGCGCAGGACGGCCCCGACGAGGAGGACAGCGCGGGGAAGGCCGGGGGATTGGGGGGGGCACCTCGCCGCGTCGTCCCTGCCTTCGGCGAGCCCACCCCCGGGAGGAGCCCCCCCCCCTCAGGTGTTGCGAGGACGACGACGCGGCCGTGCTCGCTCACGGCAGGGAGTGAGCGGCCCCCCAGAATCCCCTGCGGGGCCCGTGTCGATCCGGTTGACCGGATTCGATGTCGAGTGCGGCCGGCTCGGTCCGATCCGATGCCGATCTGCGGGCGGAGTGAGCTTCGGTGCGGGCCCAATGTCGGTCCGATCCGATTCCGATCTGCGGGCGATGCGATGCGTCGATGAGACGTAAGATTGACGAGTGACCATTCGCCAGGGTGAGCTTTGGTGCGGGCCCTGATGGGGTCCCCGATCGCCGAATGCGATGCGATAGTTGCGTCTTGTGCGCTTGGATTTGACCCCTCCGCGGCTCCCCGAAAGCCGCGCACCAAGGGTCACTCTTACCCAGAGTCGCTCTTGCGTGTAGCCGAGTGCGTCCCGATGCCTGCATGGCGCTGCATCGCTGGTGTGCATCTTGGCGCGGCCGACCCGAGACTCCGACTCCGTGCCGATACACCCCGATCCGTCACAGATTCCGATTCGTTCCGATCCACTCGCTTGTGTGATTGATCCTGCTCTGACTGTCTGATGCTCTTGGATCTGGATGCTCTTTGGCGTCTCTGGGCGGCGGAGGGCTGGTTCAGGCGAGCCCCACTCGCCCCCCCCCCGGCGCCACACCCCACACCCCCCGCCTTCTCGCCTTCGCGCGGCGCCCGCGGCGGCCACGGCGAGGCGCTGGAAAAGCAGCCTTCGCTCTCCCCCCCCTCTCGCGTTCGGGGGTGGGGGGCCTCTCCCTCCCTACGACTATTCAGTGTGAATGTTGTTCTTCTGGCGGTCGCTCGCTCTCTCCACCAAACCGCGGCCCCAGTACCCTGCCCACTCTACACCTTAGGCGATGCTCAAGAAAACTTAAGTTTTCGGCCAGAGTCTCGATTATTCTTAACGTTTCGATGTAAATCTTTCGATGCTAATAGAAATGTTCGGCTTTCATTCAAGTTCTGAGACTATGAATTTCTTAACCCATGATTTCTTAAGCACTTCGCAGGGTGTAGGATTGGAGGCCACCGGGGTCAGGCGTGTGAGGGCGCTGTTCCGTAAGGATGTGATCTCCGGTGCACACCCACGGCCCGCGGGCAGCAGCCCCAGACCCAGACCGGGGAGGGAAGGAGTCAAACAGCGAACGCAGCGCACCTGCGCGGGCGGCCTGGGGGGGGGGGAAGGAGGTGGTGGGAACGGGGACGGGGTCGGTCGTCGTGTCGTCGTTCCTCAGCCTCTACCTCTCTCTCTCCCTCTACGTCTCTCCTGATGCAGTCTGAGGCGTTGTCCTGCCACTCTACATATTTCACATCCCTCCTGTGTAATGGCTCTTCGTTTCGAATTCGCAGCGCCGCGCGACTTCTCCTTCTCTTTCTCCCCCTCCTCCTCCGGCCCCCCCATACCTCCCACCTCCTCCACCTCCCCTCCTGCCCGCCAACTCCATCACACCTCACACGTTTCGTGCCCCCCCAGGGAGCTCCGCGCATGGCCGCAGCGGGCGTGCTCGCATGGCGCCCCCCCGCCGATCCGGGCACACCCCTCGCACGTTCCGCGCCCCCTCGGGAGCTCCACCTATGGCCCCGGAGGGCGTGCTCGCATGGCGTCCCCCCGCCCACGCCGGCGCATCCTTTACGCGATTCGTGTGCCCACGAGGACCTGCACCCATGGCTCCTCGCATGGCGTCCACCATGGTCCCCACGAAGTGTATGTCTTCGTCTCCATGTCCCCCTCTGCTCCGCGGCGTCGCAGTCATCGTCGTCTTCCCCTTCGCGATTCGATGTGTGAGAATGCATGCGCGGCTGGGGGGACACTGTGCGCGGTCTGGATGCATGTAGAAAAGTTATTAGTGATAGTACAGATCCTTCGACGCGATCTTGTGGATTGAACAGTCCCGTCTATCGCCGGTTTTCTTTTGAGAGTTGGGTTATTGATTTCAGGGAAGTTGGTTTGGACTGTTGGGGTCAGGAGGTTCTCCGGTTTTCCAGACGTTCTTCTGGACAGCAGCTGTTTTCCAAATAGAGTGATTTGTTCGATGTGTCTCATTATGCTTGTTGAGAGGTTGTTGCTCGGTGTCGGTTTGGGACAACCCCGCCTGGGGCACCGGACTGTTTTGAGTCCCCTGCTCTTGACCGTCCGCCCCCCACCTTCAGCCCTGTGCACTCTTCCGCCTTGTCACCACCTTCAGCCCTGTGCACTCTTCCGCCTTGTCATTCTCATCCGCGTTTCCACCCTCCTCCTCCACATCCCCCTCCACATCGTCCTGCTCATGTTCCTCCTCCTCCTTCCCCTCCTCCTTCCTCCTCCTCCTCCTCCTCCTCCTCCTCCTCCTCCTCCTCCTCCTCCTCCTCCTCCTCCTCCTCCTCCTCCTCCTCCTCCCCCTCCCCCTCCCCCTCGTCGGCCTTTTCCTCCTCCTGCGTGTCCTCCGCCCGCTCAAGGCCAGCAGGCGGGGGAGGGGGGGAGGGCGGGGGCGCCAGGGGGGCCGCCACGCCCCGACGCCGCGCGATGTTTTGGCCGTTTTCGGCCAACAGCGCGCGTCCGGCAACCTGGAGGCCAGACGGCCCCCGCGGGGACGATCCGGAAGCCGCGGTGCCTCGCGGCGAAGCCCCAAGGGCGGTGGCCAGCGGCTCGCCAGGCGGCCCTGGCGGCTACGCCGGGGCCGCCGCCGCCGCGCGCTATTCGCCGGCGGCCGACGAGGAGTCGCCGCTCGGCCTGGCGTGGTGCGACGTGTCGGGCCGGCGCTGCGCGGGCTCGTCCCGGCGCGCCGCGTCGGCCGGGCCGCCCACGGAAGGCCTGCCGGCGCTGCGGCCCGCGGGGCCGGGCGCTGCGGCGGCGCGGCCGCGCAGCAGCGGCCCCGACGGGCGAGCAGGCTCTGCGAGCCCGGGCTCGGCCTCCACCGTCTCGACGCCGGGCTGCCCGCTTGGGCGCGCCCCTGCCAGCCCGGCTGAGCGCTGCGAGCGCGGCGACGGGGAAGCGCCCCGCCCGCGCGACGCTGCCACGGACGCCCCGGCGCCGCCGCGCCCAGAGATGGCCGCTCTGGAGGAGCGCCTGGCGGCCCAGCTGGAGCGGTTGCGCGAGCACCTGATGGGGCTCCCTGGGCAGCTGCGCGAACAGGCGGGCGAGGAGGCGCGCCTCGCGTTGGAGGCGGCAGTGGGGCCCCTGGCGGCGCGCGTCGCTGAGCTGAGCGGGAGGCAGTCGCCCCTGGAGCGCCGTTTGACAGACCTGGCGGAGGCCGTGGGCGAGCTGCGCGAGCGGACGCACCCAGCCGCCCGAGACGGCGCCGCGGCGGAGGAGGCCGACTCGGTGACGCGCGGGGAGCTCCTTGAAGTCGTGGACCTCTTGAAAAGGGAGCTCCGGAGAATGGTGGCCGACGAGGTTCGGCGCGCCGCGGGCCCATCGGACCAGGGTGCGGCCCAGCTTGCGGAGCGCGTTTCGGCCAGCGAACGCAGGATCCAGGAGCTGGGCGCCGCCGTCGACGGCACCAGCGCGCTCCATGCGGGCTCGCTCGCGGACCTCTCCGAGCGCCTGTCGCGCCAGCAGCAGGCCGTGTGCGCAGCTCAGGCGGGCGTCGAGCAGTTGCAAGCTTCCCTAGAGCAGGCCCACGTCGGCATCGACGGCCAGGCGGAGGCCGTCAGGCGCCTCAGGGACTCCGCCCGGACGCTGGAGAGTAAGCTGGACGACTTGGCGCGGGGCCAGAGGAGCAGCGGCGCCGAGCTGGGCGCCGCCGTGGCGGCCTTGGAGGAGCGGGGCGCAGAGCACGACGAGCGGCTGGAGCGGCTGACCGCCGGGCTGGCCTCCACCAGGCGGGGCCTGGAGGACCAGGGCGCGCGCCTGGAGCGGGCCGTCGACGACGCGCTCCAGAGGTGCGCCGCCGGCGAGAGCCTGGCGAAGCTGGTGGCGGCGCTCGAGGAGGGCTGTGCCCACGCCGCGGAGAAGCTTGACGTGCTGGAGGCGGAGGTGGTCATGGGCCAGCAGGAGTCGAAGAAGAAAGAATTGCATAAACAAACAGAAACCTTGGGAGGTCCGCGGGGATGTCTTGGATGTGCGCTGGGTCCCCACCCCTGGGGAGCGCCAGAGCTGCGCCAGAGGCACCGCCAGGGGAGCCCAGCGCCGATCCAAGAAATCTGCGCGGAGCTCCAACATGTTAACGCAGATCGTCCTTCATCTAAGGAGGCGCTGCGCGCCGCCCGAGCAGAGGCGCACAGCGTGGCGGAGTCGGTGCGGCGGGAGCAGTCGGAGGCGCTGGTCGCGGCCGTCGCTCCGCTCAAGGAGCAGGCTGTGCGCACGGCGGGCAGGGTGACGCTGCTGGAGACCTGGGGATCTGAAAAATACTGTACCATCAATCTGGGTTTGCTAACCAGGTGTTAGGTTTACCACTTCCCAAAACACCCAGCTAATTAGTAGATCAAGCAACACGATATTCCAGTCACATAAACCTAGACGGTTCTTCGGGATCGAGGTCAACACCGTTCTGATCCAGGTCGACACTTGGGGCACGACCGGGGAATGTGTGCAGTTGGCGCTGGCCCCTGACGCGGCGGCTGGACTCGCCTCCTCGGAATCGGGGCCAGCGCGCACCCTGGGTTGAAGAGCGTCGGTCCCAGACATCCGGCGGCGTGGTTTGTGGTCGCAGCGTGGCCCCCAAGAGGGCCAGACCCATTCTCGGGGACGAGCTTTCCATCCCGAGACGTGTTTCACGGTTTCGGGTCTTGGTACGGATAGGTCGGGCATGTCCCTCTACAGGCGGAATATTCAAAACTAGTGAAATATAGTTTGGGGACGATTGTTCTTAGGTCTTCTTTATAGAAGTTTAGCGATGTTTGATTAGTTGAAGTCTCTTATCCAAAGTCCGCCTGTAGGGGGACAGGCCCGTCCTGAGGGTAAGGTGAGGGCCCCCAGAGGCCGAAGACGACCTAGACAAGTCCGTCGCTGTTCTGCACGACGCGACGGGAGCACAGCTTGTCCCCCCCCCCCAGGAGCGGAGCGCGGAGCAGCCGGGGCAGGCGGCCGGCGGAGGTCTGGGCGGGAGGCTCTCGGACGGGGCGAGGACGAGTGGAAGTCAGCTCCGGAGCTGATGGGCACATTTTCCACGTTACCATTTGTAGGACGGGGGAGAAAGGAAGATGAGGAGGTCCTCCTCCTCCTCCTCCTCCTCCTCCTCCTCCTCCTCCTCCTCCTACCTGTCGTAGTGGCGGTGGAAAGTTGAAAATGGCCCATCAAGAGAGCCCCAGAACGCTCTCAGTCGAAGAAAAGAAGTGCCGTAAACATGAACTTTTGGCGTTCCTCGTGGTTTTCTTGGATCCGTGCTGGGCCCCCCTCCCTGGCGGCGCCTGCGGCGCCGCCCCTGGCGCGCTCCGCGCGCCAGGGAGGGGTGTCCAGCGCAAATATAAGAAATCCGCGTGGAGCGCCAAAAGTTAATGTTTGTGGCGTTTTTGATCTTCTACTCAGAGCGTTCTTGGAATGCTCTGAGAAGGCCGCGGCGCCCGAGACATCCCCCAGAGCCGCGGGATCGCAGAGATTCCCGATGTTCCTTCGCCCGAATTTATCCTCGTCCTGGCTTCGTCTTAGGCTCGACTCGTAGCTGGAATCCCTGAAACGCTAGCGCGCCGCCGCCTGCCCCTGGTGGACTGGCGCAGGGGTCCGCGGACAATTGGCGTGCACGGTGCCGCGTTGGTGTCTCCCGAGACTTCGTCGATCTTCGGCCCAGGAAGCGTGTGCAGAGTGTCTCGGCTCATAGGGTCGAGCACATCTCTGCACTGTGCCGCGCCGGAGCGGGGCATGAAAGGAGTCCAGCATGGTGCCGTGCATGGGCGCCGTTCCCGTGAGGGGGGGAGTCGCGCGGGAGGGAGGGCAGGTGCCCGAGGGAGCTGCGCGTTTTTGCTGGCGGCGTCCGCCGGAAAGCAGAGCTCAAGAGGAGGAATCGCCTCGGTTGGATTTGCGTCGACATCCTGGTCAGATCGCTACCTTGGAGAGGTCCGACGTGCAGCAGTATCGATTTTGTTGATTCCCCAGGAGAACGAAACGGTGAGAAGGAGTAAGATGGGCAGGAGGAGTATGAGGACGATGAGGAATGGCATGACGAGGATGGAGAGGACCATGGCGATGAGGAAGAGGTGAAGGTGAACCAGTATAAGCCCAATATTCATCAACGATGTTGCAATACACTGTCAAGCGCAACAATCAATTCCGACGTTGATTGCCACCGAACAATTGTTACCACCACGCTCGCCAAGGGCACGAGAGAGGTCGGAGGCAGGACTCTTACAGACAGCAACAGTACGCAGTCTGCGAAGGGAACCCTGACACTGAGTTTCCGCAGTGATCGCAGAGTGGATGTAGAAGGACGTAGCAACAAGGCTCGTAAGCGCATGCTGGTGGTCGCCCGTACTTCAGACATCCGTGACATTTAGGCAGTCATCGAATTCCTGCTGGGGATGGTTCGGGATGATATCAAACTTGCCCATTGCAGACACACTTTTGCGATACGCAGCAAGGCTGCTAGAAACGCAATTCAGCACTCAGAAAAGCCCGCCAAACATAACAGTAATCGACATTCATTGTCCACACCTGTAAGCATACAGCGATGGACGGGTTAGCACTGGGGGAAAGATGTCTTAGGAACGTTTCGCCTGATGGGCCTTCATGTCGATCGCTTCATAATACTTTAGCATGTCTTGAAACAGCGCTGATGCTCTGTTGTCTGCGAGACGTGCCAGCGTCAGCTCGAAAATATTGTCGCCACACCACGTCGGACGCTCTTCGAACAAAAACAGGCACTGCCCAGTTCAGACGGAGCCGAGGAGGCGGAGAATGCGGCGCTGAAGGTAGAGGGGGAGGAGGCGGACGACGAGGAGGAGGAGGAGGAGAATGAGGAGGTGGTAGACAGTACGGGTGGACAAGGAGGAGAAATTTGTGGATGGTTAGGCTGAGGAGGAGTCTGAGGGGGTGGAGATGGGGGCGGGGCCTCATTGTCGTTGCTCCTCCTCTGGCCTGGCTGTCTTGAGCCGATGGGGGACGGGAGGCCAGCAGTTGCGTCGCCGTCGTGCCCGCCGCGTCCAGCGTGACCGCGGTGGTCGTAGCCGTCACTGTCGTTGCTGTCGTCAATTATCAGGTAACGGCTGTCGCTCGTCGTTTGTCATCGTCCGTCGTCGTCTCCCGTCGGTCGCCGTGCAGGAGCGGGGCCCCGAGGGAGGCGGGCCCCAGCCCCCCGGGCGCTGCCGAGGACGGGCCCGTCGCCCCGAGCCGCCCACTGATGGCACCGGGGCCCGCAGTGGCCCCCCAGGGGCCCGAGAGTTGCGCGCAGATCCCACGACCCTTCTGTCGGGCGTGTCCCCCTACAGGGGGATTGTCGACGAAACATAGAAGTACCCCAAAAATGCCGCAAAAGATTAAACAAATGCTAGAATACCTATGTTTGCATGTTTTTATGTAAAAAATCGTCGAACATCGCCCTGTAGGGGGACCCCCATCCCTCCCGGACCCGTGCCCTGCATGCTGGGTCGTCCTGGGTCGTCGTCTCTGGTCGTCCTCGAGCAGGGCAGGGCGCGGCGCGGTCGGCGCCCTCGGCGGGCCGCCACCCCCCAGGGCCGCGGCGGCCCCGGCGGGCTTCTGGAGGAGCGCCTGGAGGGCCTCGAGCACGGCAGGCGCCGGAGGGGGGAGGGGGGGGAGGAGGACGGTATTCAGAGCTTGCAGTACAGTCGAGGTCGATTAGGAGGTGGACCCCGCCAATCAAGGGTGCCCTCGTGCCCTGTGTGTCGCGACCCGTGCCTCCTGCATTCCTATGGCAATGTGGCCTTCGGAAGGGTCTTGCGTCCTATCGCGTGTCCTATCCAATCAATCCCGACTGTACCTACTCCGCTTTCGCTTCCAGGCAAAACCAAGTCATACCGCGCGCCTCCTCGTCAAGCGGCCTGACCAGTTCAGGCCGTAGTTTGGCATCGTTTGGTATCTCTTGGAAGCGAGGGGAGGAGGACGGTATGGTTATGTCGGGCGTGTCCCCCTACAGGTGGAATTTCGACGAAAAATAAAATACCCGCAAAAATACCCCAGAAAAGGTAAAGCAAAACACCAAAAATAGTCCCCAGACTATTTCAATATTATGTTTTGATTGTGTTTAGGGTATTTTTTATTTTCGTGGAAAATCCCCCTGCCGGGGGACAGGCCCGACTTAACGGTATGGGTGGCTGGGGGCGGTGGAGGAGCACATGCAGGCATGTCGTCGCTGAGTGCCAACACCGTGTATAGACAGACCCGACGGGCTGCAGCAGCTGTAGTCGGCCATGTCGCACGCCACATACGCTGGACATCGTAATATTTTGCCATGCACCGTCCTGCTAGCACGCATCTCCAGAAGGGGGGAGAGGTGGAGGAGGAGGAGGAGGAGGAGGAGGAGGAGGAGGAGGAGGAGGAGTAGGAGGAGGAGGAGGAGGAGGAGGAGTAGGAGGAGGAGAAGGAAGAGGAGGAGGAGGAGTAGGAGGAGGAGGAGGAGGAGGGCGCAGTGACGGAAGGAACTGACCGACGCAGGGGACGGCGGGGCAGAGGTGGCCAGCGGCTAGGGGGAGGGGGGGATGACGAGGAGGGACCGACATTTGTTGAGGGGTGGACCCAGGCCCCCCTGCATTGTGAGGGAATCATAGCGCTGCAGGGTATGGCTGTCTTCGAAGTTCGAGGTTCAATGGAGGATCGAGACATGGTGGGCCTCCAGTGGCACAGTGGGCGTCTCGTCGCCACGGCTGGGGTCCGCCTTGAAACGACCCCCAGAACGCACTCCGCGGACGCCAGTGGCACTCCCGAGCCTCCCCAGGACCTCGAAGACGGCTCAGGAGGTCCGCAAGAGAGCCCAAGATTCTTGTGTTGGAACCACACAATCGGGCAAGCGTAAGACTCGAGCAAGCCAGATTTCGGGTTTGCCGACGTTCTTTGACGAGCGCGTTCTGGATTTTGATGGTTCGGTTTTCGTGGGATGTTTGCAGAAGGAGTTCGCGTCAAATTTCAAATTGGATCCCGTCATTTTCATGATGACCCCGTGAGGCCAACCCGAGTCCCCCATGCCCGAGTCTGACGTCAACAAGCGGGACGCGCGGGTGTCCAGGGCCGCTGAAAAAGTCACGCGGGGGAAGTCGAGCGCTCATAAACTATGGCAATTCGAGATTTCGGGCACATGAAGAACATAGACAAAACTCAATGTTGATGCTCTGAGGGGCCCAGGGCTCCGCCGCCCCGTGCCTTCGGCACTGTGGCGGATGGTTACCTCAAGTGGGTTTACAACCGCCCAGCACGTCGGCGATGAAGGTGGTGATCATGATGGTGATGCTAATGCTGGTGCTGATGCTGCTGCTGCTGCTGATGATGATGATGATGATAATGATGATGATGATGATGGTGGTGGTGGTGGTGGTGGTGGAGGTGGTGGTGATGCCGATGCCGATGACGATGACGACGGTGATGATGCGTCGGCTGTTGATGATGACGATGATGCTGATGATGATGCTGATGATGATGCTGATGATGTGGCGGATGATGATGATGAAGCTGGTCATGATCATGCTGATGAAAATGATGCTGATTATGATGATGATGATGCTGGTGGTGGTGGTGATGCTCATGGTGATGATGTTGATGATGATTACGATAAGGCTGATGATACTGATGACGACGATGATGATGATGATGATGCTGATGATGATGATGATGATGATGATGATGATGATGATGATGAAGCTGATCATGACGATGCGGATGCTGCTGCCGGTGATGATGATGCTGATACTGTTGATGGTGATGCTGATGATGCTCATGATGCTGCTGATGGTGCTCATGAAGCTGATCATGATGATGAGGAGGATGCTGATTATGATGCTGCTGCTGGCGATGCTTATGATGTGGCGGAGTGGTCGCAAGGCGGCAGCCACAAACATAGGACATGAGGACATCCACGGTCAACATAGGACATGAGGACATCCACAATTTGTTTTGAGGCCCAAAAGCTGGTCCCTCACACGCAAGGGCCTGGGTGGATGTCTGGTAACGCTCCCATCCGCTCGCTGGATGGGCAGTCGAAAGCGGGCAATTAACTAGGTCTCGCAGGGGGGGGGGGGGGGCGCAAGTATTGCCGCAACGCAGCCTGCTCGTAGCAATCGTGTCCAGATTCGGATGGCATCTGACCGTGTCAAGTCACCGTGGAGGTCGTCATTAATGGCGAGTGCTTCTGGGCAGGGAGCGAGGCTGGCGATTCGCAAGGCGGTGGCCACGAAGATGAAACTGCAGGATGACATTCGCGTGATTTGAGCCAGGGGACGATCACGTGAGTCCTATTTAGCAAACCAGCCCCCCCCACAACAGTTTCAAGAAACCGCCCGAATACACAGGACCACCTTGCTTACACAAAAGACGCCTTAAAAACCAGGCCCGGGGGTCGATATTTTAGGGGATTGCGAGCACGGCTGCCGGGGCACATCCATGGGCCTGCCCTGGCAGAGATCAAGCAGCCACGGACGGAGGCTGGAACGAACAGCAGGAGGAAGGGACGATGGGCTGTTCTGGATCGCGAATTCGTGGAAGTTCAAGGCCTGTCGAGAAGAACAGGCGGTACTTCTAGCAGAGTGCATAGGCGAACTAAACAGTTCTGGATGGGCACCCAGACAGAAAGCACAGTACAGTACGATGGAACGCGTCGAAACCGAGGCAATGAGTCCAGACCCTCCCAATCCTCACGCCCCCCATCATGGGCAACTGGACGGAAAACGCTAGAGCGGCAGCAACATTACGTTCTGTACCCGGCAAGGGCTTTCAGGAGGACGATCGGAAGGATGGAGCGTGATGAACGAAGCCGAGGAGGAGAGAGGAAGGCTGGAACGCAGCCCCGAAACCTCCTCTCTCCGCAAAGTATCAACATCTGGGACACGCATTACCAATGGCGGGCTGTTTGTCAACTCCCGGACTTGAGGGTTGGGGTCGACGTCGGTGCAGTGTGGTGCATTTTTTGTGTGTCCCGGGAGCCAGCGAAAATGTATATACCAAGATCCCGTACACACCAGGATCCGTTTCTTGATGGAAATTTCAGTGCAGTGCCAGGAGAAGCGTCCAGGTATAGAGTTTGGTTCCCTACGGTACGCGGCATGGGAGAGAAGTTGCAGACGCGCGATCAAACACAAAGGCTCCGGACGCGATTGCCGCTCTCTCTCGCCGGCCCTCCATTATCGCCTCTCTCGCTCGCCGGCCTTCCTCTCTTCTGGTATAAGATCGAAGTCTATGGGTGAGGGTGCCGTAATGTTCTTCGTGTTTGTTGGATGTGTTCGTGCATCCTGTGGGGGGACACGTTCGAGTCAGTGGTTGTCATACCCATGTCAGCCTCTCCTCCTCCTTCGCCTCCGTCCCACCTCCTCTGTGTGCCGCCGTTGTACCTCACATGGGCCCTCGAGCCACCTGGCGCGCAGGCGAGTGGCGCGCCCTGGCCCCCGTAAAAAGAAAGAGAACGTGCTCTCTTATAGCACGGGTCCCCCTACTTATACCTCGTGTCTCTTTGTAGTCCATACAGTTGTTCCCGTACACTCCACAATGGCAGCGGCCGTGGTTGCGATCCACGACGGGGGTCAGGCCGACTCCCCTGTCACTCGATTATTGTGTGACATATTCTTAATAATTCTCCCGCTCCTCCCGAGTTCCACCCTCTTGCACCGAGCGCCGCCATGGATTTTCCAGACGACGCCCAGCCTCGCGATGATGGGTTGCCCATATGATCCATGGTTACAGCCGGGACAAGATCCTTGGGAAGGAGGGGCGAGAAGACGTTCTTTGGGACGGTGGTGGCGAAGTGGGCTTGTCAGATCCAGACTGGGCCCGCTGGTTTTCGCAACCCTGGACGGAAACACAGTCCAGAACGCAGCCATGCTCGTCAAGTTGGAACGCGCGGGGCCTTGGTTCGCCGGCTGCACCAGCTCGGTTGAACACGCCTTTGCGGGGACAGGCTACACCTGTCACTCCGATCGTTCCGACTTATTGGGGCGATACCACTGCCAGATTTTCTGATCGCCAGACGGGGCAATGTCTTCAATAATCTGAGGCCACACTGGTACTGAACGACCTACCCCCCGCCTGGGATGGAACAGATCCTGCTAATCGTCTTAGTATTTATTTGAAGGAGCTGCAGATGTGGCTCACGACTAGAACCGTGAATCGACAACACGGATACCGCATTTACTTATTCCCAAGCATACTTAACATGTTTTCGCCGAGTAGCAAGACCGCAGGATGCCGAACATTTGTGGGACAAAACGGATCTACTCGGACGACGCCAAGCGTAAGCGAGACGACGCTCCGGTCAATCATATCGATATCAAGCGGTTTTGTTTTCGAGAATTTGTGAAGGGTGTGATCCTACCGGGGGAATTGAAAGGGTACGTGCTTCTCAGAGGGTCCAAGTTCAGTGAAACCGTAAGGGATACGGTTGCTCACTGGACCGAGGGGTCCTATGAGCTCGACGTGGCGCGTGAGAAGTTTCGGACGCTTGAACGGCCAATCCCCTCAGGTCAAGGCGGCCATCGCATTCATGCAGTCAGTTCCGCCTCGCTCTTCGTCGGGTACCAGGGAGGCGGCGACGGAGATGGCGACCAGGGGTCTCACCACGATGACTTCCATTGGACTA